ATTTTTGCTACGTTCGAAAAAAAAAAAACCCATACAAACATATTTGGAATACAACGACATGTGAATAACTGAAAGATGAGTTTTTTTTTTCTCTTTGAATAATTCAGAATTAACAATAATTGCTCAGCCAACTGTTGTCCTTCAATTTCTTATTGTAGACTCTAATTTTTATTTTATTCTTCTTTATTTTTTATTTATTTATTTATTTTTTGAGCGCTGTTACGTAAAAAAAAGGTCATAAAAGCTGATATTTTACCCAAGTTGCGAAGATTATCATTTAATCGAACCACTGATACACCAACTGGGCATTTTGAAGCACGATAAATGTTAGTAGTTAAATGTGTTAAAAAACAAATGCAATTTGCTCAATAAGCAAGTAAACAGATAAATTTAGAAAAAATTTATCAGACAAATTACAAAGTGTTCCTTATATGAGCCAGTGGATATTGATAACTGGAAGCTGCGGTGATATATGTGCCTGTCGTTAACTTCTCTTTACTTTTGACGACAGAAGAAATATTTTTAAGATTTTTTCGAAGTGAGAAGGTAAGGAACAGTCTTAAGGTGTTAGACATTAAACTATCAAAATGTTAGATGTACTAATCTGAAATATTTCTATAGTTTTTCTGTGCAGTTACTGTCATAGAATAAATTTGCTTACAATCAATTTTATTGCGCTCTACTTTGCACGTTTCTGTCTACGCTTTGACAAATGCAAAATTCTGCTCTAATAAATTTAAATATTAAAAAATTTGCTTCAATAGGTGATTTTACTAGCAAAAATTTTCTTTTTAATTATATCAGAATCTTTAAAACTGACAGTCTCTCCAAAGCAGAAGGTAAATTTAATGAAGTTCCTCAGATATTCAACTTAAAGCCACTAATTTTTTCTGCTTATCAAGAAATATAGCATATAAAACTTCTGTTTTCAAAAGTGGTTTTTGTTTTGACTGTTTAAATTTCTAATTTACACAATAACATTTTTGAACAACACTAATTTTCTATTTCGGTTGACTAGCAGAAATAGGAAAATTGTTGTAAATGATTATAAGATAACAGCAATGATCAAAAGTTGTCATAATTTTTTCAGTACTGCTTAATAAGATCACTGCGTATTTTAGTTGTTATCTATAAGCGATTTATCCGATTTTTTTGGTTCTATTTTAGTCAGTTCAATTGCATCGTTTAGACATTTAGATGGAGTTGATTTGGAAGCTTGAGCTTCTGCTGTCATTCGTTGTCAAGTGGATTGCAAATTACATTCAGCAACTTTTTGTTCTATAGCTTTTGTCATCTACAGCCAATTGTCTGCTTTAGTATTGCTTTTCTGCAATTAATTACTATAACTTTTGAAATCTGGTGGACCGTTTTTAAAGGTTTTGATACTTAAATGTGAGCTTACAAGAAAACAAAATCACTCTTATTGTTTTTACAACACTATTACCTCTGTTAGCAAAAAAAGAACAGCACCATCAACATGTTGCTACCTCATTTTTAAATAAAAGTCTTACAAAATTATGAACACTTTATAAAATGATCTTTACAAAAAACAGCAAGCATTTTTTTTCTAGGAATTATAATGTAATTACATATAATTTGGAATAAAATTTTCTTTATAAACATGTTGAAAAATAGCTCAAACTGTATAAGAAACTTTTATTCATATTTATTTGAAAAACAACGACTTTTGCTAATTTTCAACTGTTCCTTTTTTTTTGCTTCTTGTTTTATTTCGTATTTACTCGTTTTTGTTTTCACTGTACAATTTTGTTGCAAACCTAGTCTGTCTAGAAAAAAATCAACAAAAAAGAAAGTAGATAAATAAAAATAAAAGAGAAAGACTTAAAATAATAATAATAATAATAATAATAATAATAATAAT